TTAGCATCAAGATCGTTTCAGAGTTGACAAAAGCACCAAAATTTGCACAGTTATAGCTTATAGCATTACGATAAATACTAGAGAGGATGCCCATCGCAGATATGCCGATGACGATAAATATAGGGGATTAAAGTTTTGAAAATCTTGCTTGCTGGGTGTCCGGTGATTTTCGTACTGAAAATTCCTATTTAATGCCATAAATCACTAATAATACCGTTCTCGTGTTGTACACAACAATTTCAGTCGTATAGCTATCAATCCTATCCGCAACTAAAAATTATATTTGCTCGGATAAGCTATTTTTGGATATTAATCTATGATGGTGGTACCCAGTCCCCTATTCCATAAGTCATTTCCAAGATGGCGGCGTCCATGCTTATCTGTAGAACCTGTAAGTATCCTGCCTTTGATATGCTATTCCTTCTTTCTAAAATATAGTTTTTTTCTGTCGAGAAACTTTCGTTTTATAGTTAAAGATTATTTTTAATTGTTTGACTTCGTGATTTGCCTTTAGAAAGCATTTTTTGGGATCTTTTGACCAACGCGATTCAGATGCAGATTTTTTGTTTTGCAAGAACAGACGGCAAAGTAGCTCAAGCATTCGAGTTGGTCACTGCCGTGTGCATCTAAGAGGAGAAAACATGTGCATATATATATATTTACAAGTAATGGGAAAAGTGCATAATCTTACGTACTTTTTTAGATTAAAACAATAAAAAGTGATACATAATTGTAACAATACACACTTGAAATTTGAGAAACAATGGCATTCTCTTGGAATCGATGTCTCATATGTCAGAAAACGACAAAAGAAGAGCTAAGGTGTCCATTAAGAGCTAGTGGAGATAGAGCAGACCCTAAGCTTATTTATGGTTCATTTATCCAAAATGTTTCGGAGTTTAACGCAGTAAGAGTGAATGTCAGTAAAAATCAAACAAATATCACAATTTCGCGGCCACGTCAAAAAATCGATTCGGCTCATTTTTTGTCTAGGGCAGGGCTAAGGTACTAACTTTAGCGCCTTCCAACTGTAATTAATGGTCAAAAATGATTTGAGCGTGCATCGCTATGAGTGAGCTTCAAATTTCACCATCTTGGAGACAATCCGGTTCGAGCTAAAACATTACAACCGGACTTCTCTTGCTATTAGTGTTCACAAGGGGTCTTGTTCTTCTAGGAAATATCCACATGTTTCGTCTTAGGTTATTTCTAATAAAACGTAAAAATGAAATTTGAAGGTATGGTCGGAGCCCTCCAAACACATGTAAAAGTAGCTCTAAATCACCTCGATAAAAATGCATGTGGTAGTACCTGAGAATCGTTCATATTACAAACCATAGAATCCTAAAATATAGTTCTTAAAAATTACAGTTTTGTTTTTCTGGGATCTTGTAAATTTTTTGAGCGAGCGACGGTTGAATTTCCACAAAATCGTAATTTTACCAAAACGAGGGTAACGAACAACAAGGTGTCACGCGATAAAAAAAATGACAAAACTGACTCGTTTGTAGTCATTTTCGAGCTTAAATAGCACAGTGAGCGTAAACTAGCATCTTTTTAATATCCTCTCTTCATTCTAGGCAAAAACTCGAAATGAAGTCCTAATAAAACTGATCTACCCGCGTGTCTCACGCTTGCCGTATTCACACACGCACGGACAAGACATAGTATTTGGACATAAAAAGCGTAATCTAACAGCCATAGCTTCAAATATGGCATTGAAATTAATTTTATTACCAGCATTGCAGTTTCTGTACTGCTAAAATTTTTAATAATTAGTATATAAATTTTAGATCATTGGACATATCCTACAGCTGATACCAAAGTTGATCGCACAATTGGACTCACTGTGGATTAATGAATATTCCATTGAGTACACTTGTATTCTCTTACCGGAATCAAATTGCCTCCAATGTCAGCCTTTCCAGATAACATAACACGAAATAAAGCGAATGAAGCAACTTTCTCTAATTCCCAAAACACGCAAACTATTGAACATGCACAAGATGTTACATCCTAAAGCAGATGTGGAAAGGCTGTACATGCCAAGAAAAGATGGAGGTAGGGGCCTGATTGATGTAGAAACAGCATTCAAAACTGCAACAATAGGGCTTCATCACTATCTGAAGCACAAGGAAGGGCAATATCCAAAGCAGGTGCTTGAACATGAAAGATCTAAAGCCAAAAATTCAATATCCAAGAATGCTACTAAATTCA